TAGCACACTGCTTGGACGGCTTTAGAGACTGATCGACTATTACACCAAGATCCCTTTCCTTCATAACACTATTAAGGTTATTCCCATCCAAATTATACTTATAATTCAAAATATGATAACCCACATGCATTATCTTGCAATTATTATAATTAAAACCATTTATTTGCCCAACTCACTAAATTATCTAAATCCTTTTTTAAATCGGCAGCCTCCTCTTCACAGCAACAACACCCATACCATCTACACATTTAAGTAATTTATTGACTTCATCTATGTCATTATGGACAGCTTCAGAGCCATTACCTTCATGACATTTTATTTTTGGACTAATACACCCAGTATAATCAGAACCCTATAACCCGAGTGAATTCAATAGGTGGACCTTTCTTCTTTAGGGGCAATCTGGGAATCAGTATAATCACAATTATCCAAACACCTACTACGAAGCAATAACATTTTCTATGCTAGAAGACACTATTAATAATAAAATAAAAACATTTAGAATACTGGGTGAGTTGATAACACAAGTCCTGCAAATTCAAACTTCATAAAAGTTGTTTTGGTTTTGATAACGGATTTTTCATAATTCAGTTACGAAGATTTCGAAAATAATATTCCTTTTTTCTATCACGTAAAGATTTTTTTACAAATCAGGAGGAAGAAAAAAATTCTTACTTAGATCAAATTATTATTTTGTTTACCACAATGAACATTTTTGATTATTATGTTTGTTAACAAACATACAAACAAACTGAAGAAAATGGAATAACATATATGTCAAACGAATATGCATTCTCATTCACCCTGATTTTGTTTGTGAATTCTATGTCTTGCAATCTCAAACTACGTGTTGCGGTCTTTCTTTTATGTATTGTGTTATGACGTTTGGTGAAAAATCTGTACGTGATGGATAAAAATGGATACGATTTTCGGAGTCAGCGTACAGGAATTACTTTATAACATGTAAAAACTTGAAGACAATAAAACCATCGCAGGCTTGTGTAATTCATAGGGTGTAAATAACACAAAGTGATGTATATGTGGCTCATCAGAGTTTAATATTTTTCATTATTATCTAACACAAGCATGTCATAATAACGTGTCATGAAAACCTGGATCAAAACAAAATATTATATATTTTAATTAATCTTAAACACTTATGTTTCGACAATTCATTGAAATAAAACAGCGCTTACCGTGGATCTTAAAAATATAATAAAGCAAAATTTCAGATTTTTGTTACTTAAATGTTTACATTTCTCACAATTATCTGAATTCGTAGTTGATTTAAAACTAAAACTCATCTTGTCGAGTTGGTTCCCATACTGTTTTGATGACAAGAAAACTACCACTTATCTTGTCGAGGAGGTTACCATACAGTTTGATGACATGACGACTACTACTTATCTTGTCGAGTTGATTTTCCATACTGTTTTGATGACATTATGACTACTACTTATCTTGTCGAGATGGTTTCCATATTGAATTGTTGAACTTAACGACCACAACTTATCTTGTCGAGTTGGTTTCCATATTGGATTGTTGAACTTGACGACTGCTACTTATCTTGTCGAGGTGGTTACCATACTGTTTTGATGACATGACGACTACTACTTATCTTGTCGAGGTGGTTACCATACTGTTTTGATGACATGACGACTACTACTTATCTTGTTGAGTTGTTTTCCATATTGGATTGTTGATCTTGACGACTACTACTTATCTTGTCGAGTTGGTTTCCATATTGGATTGTTGACATGACGACTACTACTTATCTTGTCGAGTTGTTTTCCATATTGGATTGTTGAACTTGACGACTACTACTTATCTTGTCGAGTTGGTTTCCATATTGGATTGTTGACATGACGACTACTACTTATCTTGTCGAGTTGTTTTCCATATTGGATTGTTGAATTTGACGACTACTACTTATCTTGTCGAGTTGTTTTCCATATTGGATTGTTGAACTTGACGACTGCTACTTATCTTGTCGAGTTGGTTCCCATACTGTTTTGATGACATGAAGACTACTACTTATTTTGTGTATTTGACGATTAAATGTGAATATGAGGACTAAAATGATCTTGATGAGTTAATTCGTGTATTCTGTATTATATGTACAATGACGTTCTATCTACGTCAGCATATGTATAGAAGAGTAGATGCACAAAATCTATGCAGTTAAAATCTTAACTATATTATGGGTTAGAAAAAGCTCGTCATTCAATATAAATAATGTTTTTAGACAATTGAATACGTCCGTTATTGAGATACAAGTTGTTGTAAGGATTTATTGAATGCAGTTAAAATCTTAACTATATTATGGGTTAGAAAAAGCTCGTCATTCAATATAAATAATGTTTTTAGACAATCGAATACGTCCGTTATAGTGATTCAAGTTGTTGTAAGGATTTATTGAAGAAAGTGGTTGGAATTGGAGAAAATAATAAATGCCACAACATGTTTTTTCTGTATATTTGAAAAACTTAAGGTTTTGAAACATGTACAAGTTACAAATATTAAGAAACAAAGGCCATATTTGAAAAGCAGTAAAATGCTTATTTTTTTATTATTTCCCCAACCGAATTTTATGGATATTTGTTTTTGTTTCTTGTTAAGCACAAAGGTACATAATGGGCATACTATAACCTGCCCACCGCGGACATCGGAACCAAATTTTTAGTTATAAGCTTTGAGGCTTACCGCCGAGTCACCGGGGAGCGTATATTTTAGGCTTACCGCTGAGTCACCGGGGGGCGTATATTTCAGGCTTACCGCTGAGTCACCGAGGGGCGTATATTTCAGGCTTACCGCCGAGTCACCGGGGGCGTATATTTCAGGCTTACCGCCGAGTCACCGTGGGGCGTATATTTTAGGCTTACCGCGAGTCACCGTGGGGCGTATATTTCAGGCTTACCGCTGAGTCACCGAGGGCGTATATTTCAGGCTTACCGCGAGTCACCGTGGGGCGTATATTTCAGGCTTACCGCTGAGTCACCGAGGGCGTATATTTCAGGCTTACCGCTGAGTCACCGGGGGCGTATATTTTAAATTTCCCAGCATGTATTCATAAGGTGGATGTAAAAACTGGATAATAAGAAAATCGATTATGGGAATGAATAAAAAATCTTGACAAAAAACAATATATTTTCCACAAATTAAGGTTTACAGTGGTTTATAACTGAGACGAGGAAGACATTCCTCACATGAAAGTATTTAAAGATTTGGTGTTTATTTTAGCACAAATCTATCAACACAACGGACTATCCGCGCTCTGTCCATCGCAAAGAATCGAACCACGGATTTTAGCATAGTGAGTTTGGAAACTTACCGCTGACCCACCGCTACTTATAACACACCTATACATCGTTATTAATAAAATGTTTTAAAAACTATATAATTAACGTGACTTTATGTTTTAATAGTATTTATTCCATCGATATTATAATACAAGACAAAAAAATAATAATTAAAGTGCTTCACAGAGATACGTTTTTGTAAAACTTTGTGAATCCGAATGTCGCTTAGTGGTTTAAAGTAAAATCTTAATTAGATTTTTTCTTGACCGAACTTTCATCTTTTTCCTTGCTATACCATTCCATATAGCGAGGAACCTTCTTCACTTTTAAAGGTTTATCGACTATTTGAACATCACTTTTGACTGGTGAATAGGTCTTTATGTGACGTTCAGCGCCACCTGCTGAAGACCGATTTGACTTAGAATCATTATCTGTTTGACTGGCTAGTGATGAAATTTCCTCAGATTTCTCCTTCTTAGCCTCTTCAGCTTTATTATCATCTGTAGTTTTTTGACCATTGGATGTTGTGGATTTCCTCTTTGCGTTGGTAGAATCTCTGCTGTTAGCTGCTGAGGTCGAGGCTTCAGGAAGTACAGAATCACTAGATTGGTCGTTTGAAGAAGTTGAATCATTCCCAGTTGTAGTTTTGCTACTAATGTAGGTTTTCGGTATTACTTGTGTTTCGTGGACAGAACTGTCGTTTTCGTGAGATGACTGTTCGTTGTGTAAACTCTCCGGATGTTCTGAACACTGTGAATTTCCATTTTCAAACTGACTAGAAGGATCGTTGTTCATTATATTTTCATTTTTATCATTACGACTGTCAGTGTTGGGCTCGTTAATAATAACACGTTCTTTATTATTTTGAGTTCCTACGTTTTCTGAAGAAGATCCACCGTTGTCCGTTTTGTGCCTCTCTCCTTCTGGTAGGGAAGAAATTACATCTTCTTTCTGGTCTTCATTTGGTGAAACGGTTACATGCTCGTGACTTTCTGCTTGGGTCGATTTCATATCAGGTTTTACATTTTGAATTTCATCTTCTTGTTTTTTTCCATATTTTTGTTCCCAGTATTCTTCATATTCCACCGTGTTGATTTTCTCTTGCAGGACTTGACTGATAATTGGGGTTTTGTTTTCAGGTAAGGTCAAGTTTCCCCTGAGGACAGACTGACCAGATGTTATGTTTCTCTTGTTTGGGTAAGCGCTTCCTGTGTTATGGTAGCGGGAGAAACTGAGCTGTTGGCTGACATTATCTTGTCCGACAGGAACGAGGGAGTCTCGCCGAGGATGGGTATTCTGATTCTGGTTAAAGGTGTTTGAATATTGAATCGAACCATGTTTGTCTTTAGACCGTATTTCAGTGTTTTGTTCGGTTTCTTTGTATGCATGTTGTTGTTCATCAGTTTGTTTAGAAGAAAGTGTCGAGACCTCAGAATCATTTTCGTTGTTTTTGATCTGAAAAGATTGAGTTTCAGTTACGCTTACTTCGTTCTCAGTATTTGTCTCGTGTTTAGAAAACTGAGATAATTCAGAATTTATGTTATTCATTTCTTTATTGGTTTTGTTTTCATTATCTACTTCCTTCCAAGACCCCACGTGTACGTTATCCTTCTTCATCCCATTCTTCTCGAAAGTTTCTTTCCTAGGTGTACAAATATACCATTATATCTATCGTTTTAAAGACTATTCATAAGAACAATATTTAAAAATCCAAAATACACTCTATTCAGTTATACAAGTAGAAAATATCCACATTCTTAAAATTTCTCAACTTGGATAAAATTAAACATTTCGTTTCAAATGTAAAATACAGGAATTATAAGTCATTTAAATGTGACTGTTTGAAGTCTACTATGTCAAGCCATTGCGCTATTGTGTGCAAAATATCTGAAGTAATATTAAAGACTATTAAAATAATTTTATTGCCGCTGGAATAACAGGCAATCACGAAGTATTAACTTACATAACTATGAATTTTCGTCGCAATAATTTATAACGTGTATGCTACTTACTCTCTTTCCTTCCAACTTGCTTCCTTTGAGCCGATTTCTCTAATTATCACTGCCCGTTCTGCGGGTTGTACTCTACCAGACGAATATGGTCGTTGCTTATTTTCTTCGTCCTCTGTACAACAACTAAGGAAAGAAGATTCACAATGTTTTGTTAGAACTTTAAGATGAAAGTACTACATCAGCAACAGCGTCTGCTTAATTTAGACAACTTCATCGTGAACATTGTTGTATGTTAAACAAATTACTGTTTCAAGTCCTATCTAAAAATAGTTCATCAAAATTTAAGATAATACGTCTGAAGCATTTAAAAATTATACTATGATTTATAAAATCTTAAATACTGATAATAACTATCTATTAAGGCAGTTCAAAATCAATTGAGGAGAACTTTTATATTAATTATAAGCTACTAATTAATTAAATATATGAAAAAGTTATTTGAAACCTATTTATCACATCAATGTAAAGTAACTAGTACAGTACTCTATAAACAATATACCAAAAATACTTGAAATCTAAAACTATCTGAAAAGGAAGATAGAGGTATCAATTGGGTGAAACATTTATTCATTTCCTACTGATGTTGAAATATGTCATCACATCTAATCAATAAAATCATTACAAACTATTTTGTTATAACTTTAACGTTCATTCTGAGAATGTTTTCTAAAGGTTAAAACAAACATGTAAAGTTTCTATATTAAAATATTTCAGAAACGTTTCTCCAATATATGCTAAAGTTCTTGGTTTCTGGAAATATAAACAAGTTTCAAAAATTGGACTTGTTTGTTTTTTTTGAAGTAACTGGTAAACTTAAAACTGCTTTTGACCTTGGAGGGGTTGGATGTAAAATCCATGTCACATTGCACAATAATGAAGGAATACCATTTTATAAGGGGGGGTACCAATGTTACATTGTACAATAATAAAGAAGTACCATTACATGATGGGAGTACCAATGTTACATTGTGCAATAATAAAGAAGTACCATTACATAAATGTAAGTAAAACAGTTACACAGATTGTCGATAAATAAATCTGGCACAATTGTTGAGTTGTTCTCTTACAACTGTTTTTATTTCTATATTTCACAAAGGAACTTCGAAACACAAGGGATGGCATAGTTTTCTAGATTTCACAAAGAAACTCTGAAAAACAATGGAAGATATAATTTTGTTTATTTCTAAGTTCCAAGAGAGAACTCTTAAACACAAAGGATGACTAGTTTTGTATAATTTGTAGATTAAAATAGAGAACTCTCAAACAAACGAGATGACCTATTTTTTTATTTCTAGATTCCAAAAGAAAAACTCTCAAACACAAGGGATGACAAAGATTTTACTTTTATATTTCAAGAGAGAACTCTAAAACACAAGGATGACATCGTTTTGTATATTTCTAGATTCCAACAGAAAAACTCTCAAACACAAGGGATGGCATAGTTTTCTTTATTTTTAGTTTCACAAAGGAAGTCTGAAACACCAAGGATGACCTAGATTTGTTTATTTCTAAATTCTAATACAGAACTCTCAAACACAATGGTTTATAGGGTGTTTTTTATTTCTAAATTCCAAGAGATAACTCTAAACACAAGGAATCAGATAGTTTTGTTTATTTCTAGACTTCACAAACGAACTCTGAATCACAAGGGATGGTACAGTTTTGTTTATTTCCGGATTCAAAGAGAGAATTCTCAAACACAAAGGATGACAAAGTTTTCTTTATTTCTAAGTTCAAAGAGAGAACCCTCAAACACAAGAGATGACATAGTTTTTCTTTATTTCTAGATTCAAAGAGAGAATTCTTAAACACAAAATATGACAAAGTTTTCTATATTTCTAAGTTCCAAGAAAGAACCCCCAAACACAAGGGATGACATAGTTTCGTGTATTTGTAGATTCCAAGAGAGAGAACTCTGAAACACAAGAGATGACATAGTTTTGTTTATTTCTAGATTCCAAGAGAGAGAACTCTGAAACAAAAGAGATGACACAGTTGTATTTATTTCTAGATTACAAGAGACAATGCTGAAACATAAGGGATGACACTGTTTTGTTTATATCTAAGCTCCAAGAGAGAACTCTCAAACACATGGGATGTAGTTTGCTTATTTCTAGATTTCAAGAGAGAACTGTCAAACACAAGGGATGACATAATTTTGTTTATTTCTAGATTTCACAAAGAAACTCTGAAACAAAATGGATGGTATAGTTTTGTTTATTTTTAAGTTCGAAGAAAGAACTCTTGAAAACAAGGGATGAAATTTTGTTTTTTATTTCTAGATTCTGAGAGAAAACTTTCAAACACAAAGGTTGATATAGTGTTGTTTATTTGTAGATTCCAAGAGAGAGAACTCTCAAACAAAAGGGATGACACAGTTGTGTTATTTCTAGATTCCAAGAGAGAACACTGAAACATAAAAGATGACACTGTTCTGTTTATATCGAAGTTCCAAGAGAGAACTCTGAAACACAAAGGATGGCATAGTTTTGTTTACCTCTAGACTCCAAGAAAGAACTCTGAAATGTGAGGTATGACATTGTTATGTTTATCACTAGACTCCAACGTTGAACTCTGAAACACAAGGGATGACATACATACTTTATTTATAGATTCCAAGAATGATCTCTGAAACTCAAGGGATGACATAGTTTTCAATATTTCTAAATTACAAGAGAGGACTCTCAAACACAAGAGATGGACTACTTTTGTTTATTTCCAGATTCCAAGAGAGAACTCTCAAATACAAGGGATTACTTAGTTTTGTTTATTTCTAGATTCCAAGAGAGAACTCTGAAACATCAGGGATGACAAAGTTTGTTTTATCTCTAGACTCCAAGAGTGAACTCTGAAACACAAGATATGACAGTTTTTTTATAGATTCAAAGAGAGAACTCTGAAATACAAGGGATGAAAATTTTTTTCTTTTTTTTCTATATTTCAAGAGAGAATTTTCAAACACAAGAGTGACACAATTTGTTTATTTTTATATTCAATGAGAGAATTTTCAAACACAAGGGATGACACAGTTTGTTTTTTTCTAGATTGCCAGAAAGAACTCTGAAACACAAGGGATGACAAAGTTGTTTACTTCTAGATTCCAAGAGAGAACTCTGAAACAAAAGAGATGACACAGTTTGTTTATTTCTAGATTCCATGACAGAACTCTGAAACGGAAGGGATGACATAGTTTTGCTTATGTCTAGACTCCAAGCAAAAACTCTGAAACACAAGGCATGACATTTTTTTGTTGATATCTAAGTTCTACGAAAGAAGTTTCAAACATAAGGGGTGACATAGTTGGTTTATTTTCAGATTCCAAGAGAGTACTCTGAAACACAAAAGATGGTATAGGTTTGTTTATCTCTAGATTGCAAGAGAGAACTTTGAAACCAGAGGGATGACATTGTTTTGTTTATATCTAAGTTCCAAGAGAGAGAACTTTCAAACACAAGAGCTGACATAGTTTGTTTATTTGTAGATTCCAAGAGAAAGAACTTTCAAACACAAGGGATGTCCTAGTTTTCTTTGTATCTAAGTTCCAAGAGAGAACTCTCAAACAGAAGGGATGACATAGTTTTCTTTATTTCTAAGTTCCAACTGAGAACTCTGAAACACAAGAGATGACCTAGTTTTTTCTAGATTCCAAGACATAAAGACTCATACAAAGGGATTACAAAATGTTTTACTTATAGATTTAAAGAGAAAACTCTCATACACCAAGGATGACCTAAATCTGTTTATTTCTAAATTTCAAGATAGAACTCTCAAACACAAGGGATGTCATGGATTTCTTTATTTCTAGATTTCACAAAGGAACTCTGAAACACAACGGATAGTATAGTTTTGTTTATTTCTAAATTCCAAGAGAAAACTCTGAAACACAAGGTTTGATATAGTGTTGTTTATTTCTAGATTCTAAGAGAGAATTCTGACACACAAAGAATGGTATAATTTTATTTATTTCTCAATTCCAAGAGAGAACTCACATACATAAGAGATGTCCTAATTTTCTTTATATCTAAGTTCCAAGAGAGAACTCTCAAACACAAGGGATGACATAGTTTTGTGTATTTGTAGATTCCAAGAGAAAACTCTCAAACACAAAGGATGTCCTTGTTTTGTTTATTTTCAAGTTCAAAGAGAAAACGCTGAAACACAAGAGATGACATAGTTTTGTTTATTTCTAGATTCTAAGATAGAACTCTGAAACACAAAGGATGGTATAATTTTATTTATTTCTTTATTACAAGAGAGAACTTTCATACACAAGAGATGTCCTAGTTTTCTTTATATCTAAGTTAGAAGAGAGAACTCTCAAACACAAGGGATTGCATAGTTTTGTTTATCTCTAGATTCCAAGTGAGGACTGTGAAACACAAGAGATGACACTGTTTGTTTATTTCTAAATTCCAAGTGAAAACAAAGAAACAAAAGGGATGGAATAGTTTTCTTTATTTCTAGATTTCACAAAGGAACTCTGAAACACAAAGGATGGTATACTTTAATTTATTTCTTAATTCCAAGAGAGAAATCTCACACACACAAGGATTGATATAGTATTGGTTATTTCTATATTCTAAATGAGAACTTTGACACACAAGGGATGATCTAGTTTTTTTTTTTATTTCTAGATTCTAAGATAAAAGTCTGAAACACAAGAGATGTTGTGTTTCTTTCACCCAGAAACTATATGCTAGTTCAAAATGTTTCTGTCAAGTTTCATGCAATTTGGTTAAGTATGTTCACTCTGATAGGGAAAAAGACCGGCGGGAACTTTTAGCCCCACCCCCGTTCCGGAAAAAAATGCTACTTGTTTCAATCATCTTGCAGGAAACTTACTCTGGATGCGATATTTTTCTTTCTATAATAGAGAAGAACAGGTATTTCGAAAATTCTTTGTGGTTTCCTAGACAAAATTACTCCATTTAATCATTTATCTTACTCTGGATTAATTAAATTTTCGAAATACCTGTTCTTCTCTATTATAGAAAGAAAAATATCGCATCCAGAGTAAGTTCTTTGTGGTTTCCTAGACAAAATTACTCCATTTAATCATTTATCTGTTTTAATAACTCTTAAAAGGAAGGAAAAGTAAAGGGAGAAAAAGAAAATACACTACCAAAGATACCACTCACCAAACGCCTTTACTGCAAACACAACACCACCGCCAGCAACAACAACAAATCAATAGGATTAACAATATTAACAAGATCAAGATCACCAAAGCGATTAACAGCCAGAAGATAATGTCGTAATCTTTCTTTTTTACCACCTTCTCCTGAAAAAAAAACAACACAAAAAACAGAAAGACATACAATATTAAAACAGCTATGATTTACGTCCTACCTAAAAATCAGGAATACAATATTAAAACAGCTATGGTTTACGTCCTACCTAAAAATCAAGCACACAATATTAAAACAGCTATGATTTACGTCTTACCTAAAAATCAGGAATACAATATTAAAACAGTTATGATTTACGTCCTAACTAAAAATCATGTACAAAATATTAAAACAGCTATGATTTATGTCCTAATTAAAAATCAGGCACACAGTATTAAAACAGCTACGATTTACGTCCTATCTAAAAATCAGGTACACAATATTAAAACAGCTATGATTTACGTCCTATCTAAAATCAGGAATACAATATTAAAACAGTTATGATTTACGTCCTAATTAAAAAATCAGGAATACAATATTAAAATAGGTATGATTTACGTCCTAATTAAAAATCAAGAAATAGCGCTGCTCATTTGTTAATAAGTTTATTAATAGGAAATACCATGCACATACATGAACCTTGAGTCACTTTTATGCTTTGAAATTTTATCCCGATAGCGAATTCCATTTCTATGAAATATTTGCTTCTAACTACGCTACATGTACAGTTTTATTGTGGGTCATGGAAACAGACAATCAGCTTAAGTTTAAAACGCATGTTATTTACAGCTTAAAAACTGTACTACTGTGTGTGTGGTTTGTAATTAACGAGTTTTCATTAAGACGGTTTTAAGTCTTCATCATCCGCTGGGTCTTTAAGAATCTAACCATTAACCCCAGAGAGTTTGTCGTTTTTCAGAGGTATCAGTGAAGCAGGATATGTTTTTTTTTTCTATCAGATTTAATCTTCTAGCATAACATATTAAATAGCTAACGTTTTACTTGGGCTTTGTTAGCGGCTTCAAGAGGCGTCGATATAAATTCAATGAAATAATCAAATGAAATATAAGCAATCTTACCTTTGTTTCTTCTTCTTGTGAATATTGACGGCCATATATGTTACTGGTAAGTACAAATAAATGTGAGTTTTCAGCTACAACTGTTTCTCAAAGTAATAAAAGAATCAACCTGTCTATTTATCTTATATATATTAGTTTTTAACAAATTCGCGCTTTATATAAGATTAAAAATTGTATCAGATGTAAAAACTACAAAAGTAAATTTTGTATTTATAAAAGAAAGCTAAAAATAACTGCTGTAGTAGCACCCAAAAACTACGTTGGGATACCCCGTTATTTAACAAAACACCGATATCATAAACAACAGATAATCATGTAAAAGTAATTGTAAAGGGCGAACTTCATGTACACATCCATCATCCGCAGCAAGTTGTGGGTAAAGAATACAATACCTTTCAGTACAGTTCAACGTTTAGCAATATAATACGAAACATGAATATAGTATAACAGAACAGTACTACTCTCCAATACAGTTGAATGATAACACATAATTAAATACATCTATTAAATAGATCGCGTTTCACCAGAATGTTGTTTGTTTTCCATGTAGGGTGGAGGAAGAGTGTAATACTGTTGGTTAAACATTTCGATAGTGAATATTTTTTCAACCTTTCTACCTGTTATTAGTATTAGACAGTATTAATACAATTACAATTGAATTACAGTCTTTAATGTGCCTTCCCTTCCCTCCATAAGATGGCAGCAGATTAGCTAGCAGCCGAAACGTAAAGATTAGATGCTAACCATGGCAACAATTGATATCCAATCGCCGTAACCTTAACATATGTACTCAATAAGCCGATATCGTCCCAGAAACTGTAGGAATTTATGGATATAGAACGACTTAACTGTTAATTAGTTGATACAAATAACGATTTTTCTCCATTTACAAACAACGACAGCACAGTGTAATACATAAAGGTCATATTATATATAAAAGACAAACTTACTAGAGCTATATTCTGAAACAGGATCAAATGTCACTGTTTCACTACATACGAGACGCAGATTGACACTGACGACATAACACAGCCATTCAAACTTCGTATCAACAAAGACACTGATGTAACTTCACATAAAGAAACTGTACTAAATTTCCTTAAAAATAACAAAACCCATGTTAGCTATAGCTACATCCATAACATACACAGTTTACAGTATACTAGAAGAAAAATCCAGAATCAAAGTAAAGTTAGCAATATAGAAACGTAAACCCACTAAATGCCAATCTAACAGGAAAACTTCAGGAATCTATAGAAAAACACCATTATAACAATTATACTAGCAGACAAAGATGAATAAACTATCACGCCTCAATCTCATTGAAGCTGACCACCAGAAGAAGGTCAAGTCTAACACAACACAGTGATAAATATTAACCAATTTCGAACGGAAACCAACAATAAACATTATAACACGGCACCACCCCACATATCTATGGTCTACCTAAGAGGGCTTGATTTTGAATCTCCATACCACCAACATGCTAGCCACTTCAACCCAGAGCGTTATAAGTGATAGTTAATCCCACTATTCGTTGGTAAAAGAGTAACCCAAGAGTTGGCGGTGGCTGGTGATGACTAGCTGCCGTTCTGCTAGTCTTTCATTGCTAAATTAGGGACGGCTAGCACAAACAGCTCTTGTGTAGCTTTGCGTGAAATTCAAATCAAACCAAACCGACCTACCTAAGATTCACAGATAAGGCCACCTCCATCCCACAGATAACTGTAGAGATTCATCAAGCCTTGTAGATAGATATAATATCATCAATGAAAGGTAAAACATCATAAAAGCAACAACGCTAACCTCAATCTCTACAGTTACGAGTTTCGATGTGTCCAAACTATTCACTAATTACCAGCAGATACTCCACCAACAGTTTGAAGATGATAGACGTCTCAAGAAATGAGCCTAATTAACCTCCATGATAATAACGCTAACATTCTGCTTCTATGCAACTTACTTTCAATATGAACATAACTATTATCAACAATAAGAAAGCTTAGCCCATCACTAGGCAAAATGTAGCATTTTTGTAGCTATGAAAATGCCAAGAACAATGAAGAAAATTACTTCAATACAACAATACTGATAATGAATACCATATTTACCTGATAAATTATATAAAAGATAAACACCACGAATAAGCAGGAAAAAATTACAAAGACACTGCCATATTTACATAGGTTAAAGGTCCCTCTGGAAACACATAAACAGTATAAAGACAGAACAATATTCAGAAGTCACAACCCAATACAATCGCAGTTAGTGTCCGATAAACCATCTAAACATCCAATGGAGGGTAAAAATATCATAAAAGTAGGCATTTGGGAGTATAATAGACATAAAACTTTGGAATACCGATCTGACTGCAACAGCCTATCATGACAGAGAAGAATATCATATGATGATATGATAAAATAATGGAATAACCACATATGAGGAACGATAAAAGAAGCTCTCTACATTCAACTAACTGATAATACACACAGTTAACCGAGGATAGAAGCCTGCAAAAGCTATATACTCCCCTTTCCACTAACTATTCCAAAAGGGTTAAGGGCCTGAATAAGTAAATGGCACACCAGCTTTCTAACAAGAAAACCCATAATCGATTCCAGCTCCTGGTACGACGTAGAACATAAACCAATTAGAAAGCTGGTGTGCCATTTACTTATTCAGGCCCCGTAACGGTGAACCATAGATGAAAGTATTATTATTATTAAGTACTAATTGCCAAAAAGAAAACCAAATCAGACATTTAGTGAATCTCTACTTCACTATGTCCTACTTCTGCAAACACGTACCTCTAAAAACCACGATACGTTTTATTCATGATGTTAGGAAAAACATGTAAATCCAAAAATCAATTAAAGACAAAAATATGACACTTTATAACCCCAAGCGGTTCTGAAAGGCAAGCCTTTTTTCATTATGGGCAAACCGATATTCCATGTTATAGCTTGCATTCTATCGTTATTCATTTTGTTTTTATTCCCCGTTTTCATGGCCTGGTCTTCAATTTATTTTTTATCGTAGGTTTCGAAGTATTTTTTAACGTTTTCCTTCTTAATGAGAAACTTTACTGAACTTTTTAAATTATATGTATGTATATTGCAAGACAACTGTTTACCGATTGTAAAGTGAATGTTATATGATCTACGTCACTAGCCCAATCAAGTAAAATAAAACAATTACAAAGCTATCCCGGGCATTTCTTCCGTTTTGTTTTTTATTTCTACCATTTCAAGCCAAATAATTTTAAGTGTTATGTTTATAAATTCAAATATGATATAGCTGCTTGATATGATTACAATATCACAGGCCTGCGATGGTTCTACAGTAATTCCTGTACGCTGGAGGCCTGCGATGGTTTTACAGTAATTCCTGTTCGCTGGATCCGAAAATGATATCTATTTTTCTCCATCACGTACAGAATATTCACAAAACGTGATATGTACTTTTACATAAGTGAATCATTTTTATTGAATTCGGGTCACATTTTGTTATGCTTAAAATGTTGACAACCACTGACTATAGATTTCTCTAGACCAATCAGACGTGAGAGTCTTATCGATCATTCTAAACCCACAAGAAACACACCGCTAATATATATAGTATATAAACGGTTAACAGGCCGCATGACCTATCATTTCTGGATAGTATTTGTTTATGTGTGCTCTATGACATTATTTTTTTCTTTTCAATATTATTTATTCGTCGCTATGGCAATAAAAGGTTGTGTAAATGACCCAAACATATTCTGTTACGTTTCTGGTAAATTTGTTGTACAAAGAAGCGATGGCCACTAAGAGTCAGCCTGATACCAGGATCAAAAAAACCTTGAACGTCCTATTATCTCTATTTCACATAAAACTGAGCTTAATGAAGCAATTTGTAAAGGCTTTAGATTGGGAAATTGACTTCGGATGAACAGTTCGAAAGGACAATGAGGAAAGTTGAAAATGAAGCATGGATTGCCTTTAAAGGTGTTATTGGTAAATTTTTAGGAAAC